CTCTCTCTCTCTCTCTCTCTCTCTCTCTCTCATATTATTGAACTTTCATTGCTCCAAAAACAGTTCAAAATCAAATGAGCTTTCATCCCAAAAAGTGTCCCATTTTAGTTTGTCTCTAATGTCAACATTTTAGGCACAAAAGTGTAACATTCATGGTGATACTGGTGGTTTTTTAATCATTTCCACCTTGCAGGTTGTCAGATGTAAAAATATTAGTGCTTAGGATATAGCCTTAAGATGTTTGAAAACTATACAAATTTATTTAGCGACTTTTGACTTTGATATTAATCCATATACGGTATCTCACAGCTCCTTATTCAAATTGTCCCCCGTCTCTGGCAGATTGTCTCCTTTGTTCTGATTGGAGTAGCGGCATACAGTCGAGTGGCAGCCGTCATCACCAGCATCAGTCTGGTGGGGAGCCTGATTGCATGCGGAGTCTTCCTCTTCCTCATCGCCCTGGTGGGTCTGCTCGGGGCCATCAAACACCACCAGGTCCTCCTGTTCTTCGTATCCTTTTCCAAGTTACCGGCAACTAATATTAGTGTTGTATTGTGCTCTTCTCCTTGACACATTAGCCAAAAAAGCATTCTGTAAGTTTTACGCAGCTACAACGTATATTTCATTGAGAGTTTATTGTCAGTTTCAAGCACTACAAAGGCATTTTCAATCAGTCGAGACCACCAACCAACACAATTGGGGGGGGGGGGGGTGTCATCATATCATCATATTCATTTTAACGCTGATGTGATTCTTTTCCTCTTTTTTCAACCAAACAAAATAATCACTTTTTATTAAATCTAGCAGGAATGTGGGAGAAGGGTATGGTACTGGATACTGATTATTTTTTCTTTGTCGTTTAAGATGTAGGTCCATAATACACTACATAGTGCACATGACTATCCTAAATCGAAAAGATTCTGTCAAATCTCATACGATCAAGGGATTGAGTTTAACATGCATTTGCCAGTGTCGTAAATCTACCCAGAAAGTGGTCCACGACAAGATTTCAAGTCATTTAAATCCTGATAAATTGACCTCATGGGCTGGATTTGGCCCTCGGGCTATTGTTTGGTGACCCCTGTTCCATACAGATCATTGGTAAAATTACTATTTAGAGGGGTCAGATCGCAATGTCAAACTGTAAGACAATGTGACCTTTTTCCTTTTTCCAAAGGGTAGTGGAGTTTTGATTTTGGTTGTACTGATTATTGAGTAGTTGTCATGGTTTTCTAGACCTGGTCATAGAGAGGGAGGTGCATGTGTTTGTGTATTTTTAAGTAATGCGTTTGCTGTTTCTTCCCCCTCCTCCTTAAAAAAATTCCCAACTTCTCTCAAATATGGTTCACATCACAATCAATCAATTTTGTCAGTACTCCAAATGTTGAAATACCTTTGGGGGGGGGGGGGGGGGGGGTTACTGCTCTTGCAACACAATAAGGTCATATAAGTGCAGTGCTCAATGAAGATTAGAGGTGTTGCAAGAGAGCAACAAATACCAAAAAAAAAGAAGGAGAGACCAGGACAAAAGATTATTGTGATATGGAAGAAGGAGTAAACCATACCAGGGCACCCGCCAACCACCCACAAACACCTGATCAGTCTCAGGATGTGCAAATTTTAGAGAAATTTGCATAACAACAACGGCTGGTGGTTGGTTGCTCCTAATTTTTTGCCCAGTCTTTTCTCCCAGTTATGCTGTTAGCATTGATTGGTTCAGTTGGAGTAACAGGTGGCCCTGGGCTGGGCTGACTGGCTGTGTTATAGTGGAGTTGTTTGAGGTTAGTGGCTCAGCCTACAGTCAGAGAGTGAGGCTGTCGTACCAGTCAAACACAGAGAGGAGTCGGCAGCTGACAGCTGTCAATAATTCAGGGGGAATCCTTCCTCATGTTTGAAATGATTCTGTGGTTCGAGTTTGCGATCTATTAACAACGTAGTAATAGCCACTACAGTGTATTTATATACATAGGCCTATATATATATAGGCTGAAGTGAGATTGTAATGTATTATATATTCTTTTTCTGGTTTCAAGACAATAAAACCTCAGTACAGAATCTCCCATTGTGTCCTCTCGCTGGAAACACCATAATGAATCCAATACACTTCACATAAGACTGCTCCTGAAATCTAACAAAGGCTCACTGTCGCAGAAGTACTTTGTGGTCTTTCTCAATACTTATTATGGAAACTGTTTTGTCTCAACCCCCACGTTCATGGGTGTGCAGACAGCTGCATATTTAGCAAAACTTGTTGAGTGACTCATTCTTTCTCAACTTTTACACATTAAAATTATGGCCCTCATTGTATCCCCTCCCCCCCCCCCCCCAGTTTGCTCTAGGTTTGTTGACACTCAGCTTTGGTCATCCCCTGCTTCTAGTGGGTGGTTGGTGGGTGCTTTTTGTGGTTTGCTCCTTTTTACTTCTCAAACGTCCATCATCTTTATCTCTCCTCCTTCTTTCCTTTTACTCTCTATATAGTAGAAACACATAATTTTCGGACTTATATATGGCCTATTTGTGTTAATAAAACTAATGAGTCTCTTAGGACGTGGACTGGCTCAGCTGTGCTAGAACTAGAAGTTTTGGGCAAGAAAAAAGTTACCTCTTGTAAGTAAATTTACCTTGTGAGGGTGGGTTACAGCGACATTTACAAAACGTACTTCTAATAGCTCTAAAAATTAGGTCAACTTGTACCAAATACGCCAACCTCTCTTCGTTGTATATATATA